TTTAAGACCCCAGATGCTATACTTTTTGATAGCCGGGCACCATCAGCTTTCTTCACCACATTTGCTTATGCACCCATTTGTCTTCAGTGATCCGTTCGACGCTGTTTTCATATCTTATACCAACCACTGTCTCCCATTCCCCGCGGTTTCTTCCCCGCTCCCCTCCCCACCCCACCTTTCCCTTCCTCGTAGCTCCCATTTCTGTCCCCGAGGGATTTATCTGACCTGGATTCCATGTGTTGTGAACTCTTACCTGCACCTGTGTACATGCTCCTAGCCAGCAGTGAAAGGCCTAGCCAGCCAGCTAGCCAGCAGTGAAAGGCAGCCTAGCCAGCAGTGAAAGGCAGGGTTGGGGTCAAGATAGTGGAGGGTGAGGAATCCTCAAGGAAACAGAGGAATATTGTGTGTTTCTTTGGTTCTATACTTCACCCTGTTGCATTGTCTACAGATCAGTTTTGGGTCTCTGCTCTGACCCCCCTCATTCTCAACAATATGTTTGTTTGGGGTCTTCTGGTGCCTGTTACCTGATCCCATCGACACCTCATGATCGCATAGACTTGTATGCTTCTTCCATGTGGGCTTGTTGCTTCTCTCCTATGTGGCCGCTTGTTTAACTTCAAGCCTTTAAGACACAAACGCTATATCCCCCTATATCGTGTGATAGCCAGGCACCATCAGTTTTCTTCACCACATTTGCTATGCACCCATTTATCTTCAGTGATCGTGCTGGGAATGCCAGGTTGTTGGAACAAAGTGTTCTTATATTAAGGCAGAGCTTCAGCAGAGGCCCTAAGTCCACCCACTTCCTCAATGTATTGCCATATAAATATATGTACCTATGCCAATACCTCGATTTTTATGAATTAATATATTTATATGAGTGCACACCTATGTTTGTGCCTCTATCCATAGCTTTGCTTCCGAGCTCTTTCCTCTGTTTTCTTTTACTTTCCTTCTTTCCCACCATCACACTCACCCTTCTTCCGCCTCTTAATAATTCCTCTCAGCTAGAATGCTGTTGCTTCAACACCCCCAGAATCTACGTTCTCCTCGTTGTTGATTTTAATTCCCTGGTTGTTCCCATGTCTATGGCATTGTTTGCTCATTGCCTCCTCCTCCCCCAAGTCTCTCCAGAACCTTCAGTCCTGTTGCTTTCTCCTTGGGCTTGCTTCCCATGCCTATCTTATATAGGTAGGCAAACAGGGTTCTCTAGAGAGATAAAACCAAATTCCTGATAATTTAATATATTTATTTATAAAGATAATTAGATATATAACGAGAAATGAACTGCTAAATCATATACAGATAAATATATAATACAAGAAATAAACGGTTAAATTAGAAAGCACTACAAATGGCTTAGTGCAACTCACGTCCAGTGAGAGAAAGTTGAGAGACTAGCAGTCCTTCAAGTCTCTGATGCCAGATCTTCCTCTATTTGTAGAGAGAGCTAGGCTATGTCAGCACAGCAGCCAATCCCAAGGCAGGTCACCAACCGCCAGTCCCCAGCTCCAGAGAAGTCTTAAAGGGACCTCAACTTACAGCGACACAGTCCACAGGCTAGGTGTCCCACAGGTAGTGTAACCTTTAAATTGAAGCACAGAACAAGCAAGGCAGCCGCACACTGGTCCGATGATCACAGAGCGAGAGACAAAAAAGGCAAGGCTCACCAAGCCATTTATCTCTCTGCCCTTCAGTCAATCCCACCTGCGTTTATCAGCCAGGCTGGCACAATAAACTATCTCAGGCTTGCTTCCCATGCCTATCTTATATAGGTAGGCAAACCAACAATAACGTAGACAATGCAAAAAAAAAATTTGAGAGAAAAAAGAAATAAAATATATATATAAAGAAAATAATAATAACTGCAAAAAAATGAAAAAGCACAGATAATTCCAGATATTTCCAGTGACCTTTATGACTATCTCCCTAGTGGTCCTGGGAGGTTCCAGGAACTGCCCCTCATAGCCATAAGTGTATTTTCGGGGTTCCTCGGGGGCTTTGTAGCTTTTCTTTGCTCCTGTTACTGATTTGTCATGTTCCCTTCTTGGTTCGCCCTGCTGTGGGGGGTTCAGACTGATTCATTCCTTGCCATGTGGTCCCCAGTATTGACCTCTGTTCTTTGGATATATTGATCTTATTTCTAAAACTAGTTTTGAGTGGGCCAGTTTTGATGGCTTTGCATTTAGAGACAAGTAGTTACCAATAGATCCCACTGTGCTTGCTCCTCCTGGTTCTGCCCTGGGACAGACGCTTTGACGTTCTTTTTCTTTCAGCTTGCCAGTGCAACGGCCACAGCAAGTGCATTGATCAGAGTGTCTGTGAGAAGTGTGAAAACCTGACCACGGGCAAGCACTGCGAGACCTGCATCTCAGGCTTCTATGGTGACCCCACCAACGGAGGAAAATGTCAGCGTAAGTCCTGTCAGCCAGGTCTCCCGACTGCAAATCCGGGCAAACTGAGTATTTCTCACTGGCTTGAACACCTCAGAGGAAAAATGTCATTTTGATTTGGTTGCTGTAATTCTTAGGTGATACTTCTAGTCTGTTTTGAAGATTTTCAGTAGTCCCATGTTTCCCCATACATGTCAAATGGAAGTCTTTGAGAAATCAGTCATTTTATTGTTAGAACATATTACATTTTTAGAACTGATAAGTGGTACCCATGGACAGAATTGATTTGTTCTCATTTCTAATTGAAAAATACACTAGTCCTCCAGTAGAGCGACCTCATAAGTTCTAAGCAGGAAAGATAAATAAGAGAAAATCTCTGCTCAGCTCCCAAATTCCCTCTTTAAACTCCTTGATATGGTCCTTCAGAATTTAACCCCCACTATGGGGACAGGACAGAGAAAGCAATCTAGCTGTAGGTTCTATAGCCTCACTGTGGTTCCATTCTTCCTTCTGTGAAATAGGCATAGTAGAGAGCAGTGCATGACATAGTCAGCACTCAATAGGTGCGAGCAGTTATTATTACGTGTCTAGTAATAATATGTCCCACCATTCTGAAGTAAAATTCAGCATTTCCGTTCCTTGGAAAGTACCCTTCATCTTTTGGAAATGAGAACACTGAGCATGACTGAGTGAGAAATAGGTGCAAGGCATCATGCTGACTACCACGTGGGACATAGGTGCTTGTAATACCCCCAAGACCAGTACCCTCGTGCAAGGTCTCACAGCAAGATGTGGCTAGGTGGGGAACCTTGCCTGGTGCATGCTGACCTTAATTCATGGGTCCGGTTGTACCTCCAGCAGCCATCACCCTAAGATATACAGCTGCCACCCAGAAAAATTACATCCTTTCCCCAAGGCATCTGTGGGAACTTGGTACAATTGTTCCAAACTTACAGCTTTATTCATTTTATTTCAAAGTCCCAATCCAAAATACCAAAACCAAACTCATTGCCAACTCATAGCGACTTTATAGTGGAGAGAAGAGCCTCTTCTTTGGTTTCCAAGATTGTAAACCCTTGCAGGAGCAGACAAATTCATCTTTGTCCTTCAGACCAACTGTTGATTTGAACTGCTGACTTTGCAGTTAGCAGCTCAAAACCTAATCCACTTTGTCACAAGGACTCCTCCATTCACAATAGAAAAGCCCATTTTAAATATTATGAGTTAATACTAAGTCTATCATATTTTCCTCCTGGAATTGTAGACATCTTAGTATTGGTAATAGTCACAAATTATTGAACATCTACTATGTTCAAGGCATCATATATTTAAGAAAGATTATGGGAAGATTCCATTATCTTTTCATTCCATTTTTCTATAGACATTTTGAAGCCCCCTTGTATTATTTTGTTATCCTCACCAGGACCCAATGAAATAGGTACTCTTATTATCCTCACTATAGACAAGGAAACTGAGACTGAGAAAAGTTAAGTAGCATGAACAAAATTCCAGAGCAGCTACTTAGAGAAGGCTACATTCCAACCCAGCCAACTAAGTTTAGAACCTTGTTTTTCACCAATTCGCTGCACTCCGAGTCTCCTTAGTCAACAGAGCAACATGTGTTTCAGAATCTAGCAGCCATCGTCTTAACCACTGTATTCTCCTAAACGTGTTTCATAAGTCTGCTTTGGTGCTTTTTCTTTCTTCTTCAGACATGAAATTCAGCTTATCCCCTTAAAGCCTAATACTTTACTTATGTTCTCTGAAAAACAAGGTATAATTTAAAAGGACATTGTCTAGAAGGTTCATGTATTTCAGCTAGCGTATATAACATTTGTCACTGCTCACACTGACTGTTGGGTTGAAAAAAGCTAACAACGTGGGAAGAATTGTTTTCCATGAAGGTGAAGAAGGAGCAAAATACCCCAACTTCGGCACCAACCTTGCCTTTGGAATTCCACCCCAGTTTTGAACCCTGGTGTGATTTGGATGGTGGCCATTGTAGAGGAGAAGGCACCTTAATTGAAATAGAGGCCAGTCAACCAGCCCTCCCCTCAGAGAGTAACCATTATCCAGAGACTCTCGTAGGGGCCAGGCCTGTCAATATCCTCACCCCTCGTGCGTAGCATACAGTAGGTACTTCTTAAATATGGATTGGATGAATGAAATTCAATATCTTGATAGTGGAAATCAGGACTGCCAAAAAGGTCAAAACAGCTGGTGATTGCACCAGCTGGCAGTGGGAACCAGCTTCTCTTTTTTTTTTTTTTTTTTACTTTTTTAAAACTTGGGTTCCTTTATGTTAAGACAAATCATTAGCTAGAAAACATAAATTTTACCCACTAAAATTTTTTATTTTCAATCGTTTTATTAGGGGCTCATACAACTCTTATCACAATCCATACATACATCAATTGTGTAAAGCACATTTGTACATTCATTGCACTCATCATTCTCAAAACATTTCCTCTCCACTTAAGCCCCCGGCATTAGGTCCTCTTTTTTTTTTCCCTCCCTCCCCCTTCCCCCCTCCCTCATGAGCCCTTGATAATTTATAAATTATTATTTTATCATATCTTGCACTGTCCGAGGTCTCCCTTCACCCACTTTTCTGTTGTCCGTCCCCCAGGGAGGAGGTTACATATAGCTCCTTGTAATCGGTTCCCCCTTTCCAACCCACTCTCCCTCTACCCTCCCAGTTATCGCCACTCACACCACTGGTCCTGAAGGGATCACCCACACTGGATTCCCTGTGTTTCCAGTTCCTATCTGTACCCCCACTAAGAAAATTTTAATGTCTGTCTTGTCACATTCAATTTGGATAAAGTATGCATATGTGTTTTTATGAGAAGCCTCTGGCAATATTAACCCTTTAAGCCAAATGTAACCTCAATTCCTTCTCCTCCCCAGCATGCAAGTGCAATGGACATGCGTCGCTATGCAATACCAACACGGGCAAGTGCTTCTGCACCACAAAGGGCGTCAAAGGGGACGAATGCCAGCTGTGAGTACCATATGCGCCCAGACCCCTGCCATGGGCCAGGTCTGAGTCTAGTGACAGAGTTGAGGCTAACTCTGTCTGCATCACTGAGGAAGGCCAAAGGGCAGTGAACCTGCCTAAACTCTGAGCACCGTCCTCTACCCTGTGCCTTGTCTCCTAGAGTCACTGGTCTTTGCGTTTGAAATGTGGCTCTTTATCCTTCAACCTGACTAATTTGGTCACCTCCAAAATTGGGGAGGTCATCAGATTACCAGTAATTCCTCCATGGATCTTTAAGCCACATTTTATGTTTTAGTGACACTGGCATTTCCCAGTTTCTGATTTTTGTCACAACAATGCAAACTACACCTTTTCCTGTAGGCTACCAATGAAGGAGCTGGTGTGAGGTGACGGTTTTTTATTCGGCACTTTGATTTTCTCTCTGGTCATAGAGATGATCTTCTGGCCTTTTTATGCATCCTTCCCTCCTTTGGTTTGGACTACCTACAGTTAAGCTTGTTAGACTTTTCCATTGGAAGGTCCAGAGTCCTCACCAGTGAGCAGGACCTCAGCAATCTGTTAGGCCAGCGGAGTTGGGAAAGGATGTAGGCTGAGTATCAGCGCGGCTTGGGTTTTAGCCCTTGCTTTGCCTCCATTTCACAGGGGCTCTTAGCAAATGACTCAACCCTTTGAAGCCACATTTTCTCCATCTATCAACAGTGGCGCTAGCAATGATTGCTTTTAGTATCCTGGTAAGATGAAGTGTGAGCGGTTGATCCTCAGTTAATACATACCTATTTGCCTTTTAGGTAAACCTCACAAAACACATGGGCTCAATCTATTCATTCACTCAAGAAGAGACTTAAAGAGAGAAAGGACAGGTTTATTACTGTTACACTGAGCTGATGCAACCAGCTACATCATTGGCCAGCTTTGTTTTTCTTAAAGAACAGTAGTATTTCTAGTGAATGTGCTAATTGATAGTGGTATTCAGGAGGAACTTGCTCCATGTACATTTTATCTATTATACCAACATGTGTATTTACTGGCTTCATGTTGCCCTAAATCCAGTATCATAAAAATCTAATCAAAGACTAGATTTAATAGTGTAACTTTTAAAAGATAAGTGTAACTTTTGAACCAAGTTTCTGCAAAGAAAAAAAATGTAAGAGCACACAGTTACTTACTCTTAAACCTTAGTTAGGGTAAAGAAATAAGGCATAGGTCTAATGTGAAAGACTTTCTTTTCCACTTTTTTGTTTTTACTTAAGCATATACTAGTAATTATTGTGGACATTTTCTTGACTGAGAAAAATGTTCAACCCAACTTGTGAATGATAGAAATCCAAACTTTCCAAAGCCCTTTCTTGTGTATTTCATTGAAAAGGAGCCCTGATTCCTATAAGGTGTCTGTGCTTAAATGGCTTTAAGAGTTGGAAGAATTGGTTTTGTTGATGTTTACTATTTATAGAAAAGTTAGTGATCCTTTTGACTAAGGCTTTTTTTTTTTTTCCCTTCAGACTGGTAAAAACTGTTTAGATGTTTGTTTGCTTGTTTTTGTTTTTAACTTTTAAAGGGATTCTTGGTATTTAGCCTTCTTGTACTTAAAGAATAGGATCAATTTATCCAGGGTGGCATAGAGAAAAAGGAAGAAATGAACATTTGAAAAATATTCTAACTGTGCTTCCAGAAGATTCCTTAGTTCAAACAAAAGTGAGAATGTGAAATGGGGTCTAGATTGATGGAACTGGGTAAATCTCCTGTGCTTTTGCAAATGCTTATCAATTATTTTTGTATTTTGGATTCTTTGACCTGCTGAACGATTCAAGTTGAGAATGAATGCAAACACTCTGATTCACAGTGAAGAATGTAATTATACTGCCTTAACACCAACTTATAAAGAAGTTCCTACTTGATTTTTAAATGTATGTAGCTTCTTTAAGAAATAGCAACAAGATATAATCTTTGCTCTTTTTAACCTCTAGATGTGAAGTAGAAAATCGATACCAGGGCAACCCTCTCAAAGGAACATGTTATTGTAAGTGGTTTTACAATTCTTCTTTTTCTAGAAGCAAAATAGTTCAATGAACTTACTGTTTTCTGTGCCCTGATTTAAGAATGTATGTGTTGCAGGACATCATTACTGACTTTTCAGAGCTCATAAGGCAATATTATGAAAAAATTCATTGTAACAAATTAGGCAACTTGGTTTGGTCAAATTCTTAGCAAGACATAGATTGTCAAAACCGACTCAAGAAAAAAGTAGAAAAGAAGAGTAAATTAGCTATTTAAAATCTTCCCACAAAGGAAAGCCCACATGCACATGGTTTCACCAGTGAATTCTACCAAAAATTTAAAGAATTATAGCCCCAAACTTCTACAAAGTAATACAGCAAATAGAGAAAAGAATACTTCCCAACTCATTCTATAAATTTAGTAACTTTGGGCAGACTGAGGATCTGGTATTTGGGCCTTTATCCAAGAGAGGGTAATGGAGGAGCAGAAGTTTGTAAAAATGAATGCAAGAACACAAGAAATGTCAGTAATCACAGGAAACAAACACTAAGACATTTCTTTATTTCATAAGAGCTTGGACTCTAAGCCGGAACCTCAGGTGTATAAAATGTACACGGTGAATGTAACCATTTCAGAGGGGTGCTGTTAAGTTTAAATTTTTTAAAAATTAATCATTTTATTGGGGGCTCTTAGGTTTAAATAAATTAATCCAGGTAAAGTGATGAGCAGAATGATTGTACATTTTAAGTACTTAATAAGTGGTAACTATTCTGATGAATAATTTTCTTTTAGTATTTTGTTTTAAGTATTTAAGTAAAGTTTAAATTTTAACTTTTTTGCAAATATACTGTTTAATGACAGTCTACGTTTTCTTATAAAAATACATTGTGATCTATTTACCTGTTCCTCAATTTTGACAGTTTGGTTATTTGTGTTTTCCCACTATTAAAAGTAATTAAAATGAACATAATGTGCTTAAATATTTGCACTTATTATTATTTCCTTTAGGTATTGTTAGAAATTTAATGATAAGTTCAAATTGCTTTCCAGAAATATTGAACCTAATGTGTGACCTTGTAAATAGTGTATAAATATACCCTTCTTATTTTATACCAAAAATTAAGTTCTCATCATTTTATTAAAACTAAATAAAATGTGATATATATTTTTTAATCACTTTATTGGGGGATTATATAACTTTTATTCACAATCCATACGTACATCCATTGTGTCAAGCACATTTGTACATATGTTGCCATCATCATTCTCAAAACATTTTCTTTCTACTGAGCCCTTGGTATCAGCTCATTTTTTTCCCATCCCTCCTCACCCTTCCGCCCTCATGAACCCATGATAATTTATAAATTATTATTATTTTTTCATGTCTTACATTGTCTGATGTCTCCCTTTACCCGATATAATATCTTTTTAGTACAGTACACCCAAAACATTATTAATCTTTTGCTCATGATTTTTTTACGCACAGATACTTAGAAAATCATTACTTAAATTCAGTTTTTTCCTTTGTCTGGTCTTAGTCCTGTAAAGGTGAAGGTATCTTTTCTCATCTAGATATCCAATATATACCTTTGATCTTTCCTAATTTTGTTATTGTCTGATTTTTTTACAATAAATTTAATACACTTGGAATATGGCTGCCTTTAATGTAAAATAAGTTGTCAATTAAAGTTTTCTCAATAATTAATAACTTTTTCAAAACCATTTGTAGAATAAGTTGTTAAATTGATTTTGTACCTTTTTCATTCTTATATTGAAGTTTTCGAGTGATTTATGAGACAGGGCTGTCTGTTCTTTAGGAACATAATGGAAACTGGATTTTTATGTGTTCAATGCCTTTTACTCTATTGTGACTTACCAAGAATGTGTAAAGATGAAAGTGAACTAGCCTTGTCAGCAGCACTCTTTTAAGCTCTGTGCCCTTTTGCTATATCACATTAGTCTTTGAGTGCTTGCTTGCTTTCTGAAACAAAATAACCAAAGTATATAGTCCTGGACCTACAATCAAACATTTTCTATACAACAGAGCTTATGCTTTTGTATTGTTGAGCAACGCCTAGCATGTAATAGACTAGTTAATACTTGCAAGTTGAATTAGGTTGGAGCCTGAAATTTCAAGAAATTTCAACAAGGATCATGATACAAGAAGTGTTTGGTAGTTGACTCAAATAAAATGATGCACAGCGGTACAGATGGGAATTGGAAACGCAGAGAATCTAGGACAGATGAACCTCTCAGGACCAGGGGTGACAGTGGCGATACCAGGAGGGAAAGGGGGTGTAGAAAGGGGGAATTGATCACAGGGAGCTACATATAACCTTCTCTCTGGGGGACGGGCAGCAGAGGGGTGGGTGAAGGGAGACGCCAGGCAGTGTAATATAAGATACAATAATAATTTATAAATTATCAAGGGTGCATGGGGGAGAGGGGAGGAGGAAGGGAAGGGGAGGGGGAAAAAAGGAAAATGAGCTGATTCTGGGAACCCAAGAGGAAAGCGAATTTTGGGAATAATGAGGGCAACAAATGTATAGATGTGCTTTACACAATTGATCTATGTATTGTGATGAATTGTATGAGCCCCAATAAATTGATTAAAAAAAGAATAAAAATAAAATAAAATGATGCTGCTCACAGATTGGATTTCCTTTGACAAACATCACATCTTCGGGTAGAGGTGAACCAGGGGGTAAATTGCTCAATTTATGAGAAAGTCAATCTGTATCTCTAGAGACCTGCTGCTCTGATTTGTTTTTTTTTCAAATGATCTTTTCTTTCTTTTTTGCCTCCATAGATACTCTTCTTATTGACTATCAGTTCACCTTTAGCTTATCCCAGGAAGATGACCGTTATTATACAGCTATCAATTTTGTGGCTACCCCCGATGAAGTAAGATTTTAAAAGCTTTCCTACTTTATTTCGAGTTGTATGGATTATTTCCTGGTTATTGTGGATAGAGGTGTACTACCTTGTCAGTCGTCTCCAGAATGAAGTACATAGATCATCTTTAGAAATGCAGGGGGAAAATGTTAGAATCTACCTCAAAGTCACAGTGTTAAGTTTTACAAGAATCTGAAACACAGACTAGTATTGACTCCCTATATACTTATTTTTCCAATTAACCCATCATAAACCCCATGAAGAAAAGGAGGGGGGAAATCCCGTCATTATCAGGTTGATTCTAATTCATAGCAACCAGGCAGGACAGTGTAGAAGCCCGTAGGAATTCCCAGGCTGGGATTTGTACTGAAGGAGCCCTGGTGGTGCTGTTGGCCACAGATGTACTGAAGGTCTTCTTAAAAACTCTTTTCATGGGTTTAGCCATTTGCTAAATTTTAAAATTTTATGGGAGGGTAAATAAATTTTATTTGACATATGTTTCTTGTATTAAAGCAAGCTGAGAATTTTACTAGGTTTTATGAATTTCTCTTAAGATATTGTAAAGTACTGATTATTTGATAATTAAGGAAGTTTTTAATAGTAAATCTTAATTATTTTCTTTTCAGTCTAGAAACTGTTCAAATTAATTTTACTAATTATTTGTATCTCTTATCAGCAAAACCGGGATTTGGATATGTTCATCAATGCCTCCAAAAATTTCAACCTCAACATCACCTGGGCTGCCAGCTTCTCAGGTAAAAACACACCTAGTGAGAAGACCCTCCAAGTCGAAGTCCTAGATTGAGAAAAACGATAAAGCAGCTGAGGAAGCAGGCTCTGGAGATAGGGAGAGATGATGGCTTGAGCGCCACCTTTTCTACTTTGAGCTGTGAAGCCTTAAGCAGCTGTCTATTCCCTCTCTTGGCCTCAAGGTTATTTATCTGTAAAAGTGAGGCCAGCAGTATTGCCTCCTAGATTTGTAGTGCAGGTGAAATCAAGTTATCATGCCAAAATTTGCTGTGCCACCAGGCTCAGTACATGACTACGACCCATACCTGACTACCACCAGTAATGCTACTGCTCCGCTGCTCCCACCACCATCCTCATCCCTGCCTCACGAGTGGGAAAGCCATGTGACTTTTGTTTCACGATGTGGAAGCAACTAAAATCAAATGAGGTTTTACTAAGTGAAGAAAACTGTGCTTTGGGAATTACATCAAGCTGTAAGAGCACGGCTTTTCCTATCTTGTTCATCTTACCACGGTTCACTGAAGACGACCTGCTTGACAGAAAATGTACTGAAGAAACAAAGAGTGGCACTCCTGTAGTGATTCAAGTATAGCTTGACAGACAGACAGACTGGGTTTGAATTCACCCTGTTATTGTTAACAAGTACAATGCTGTTGGGGCAAGTTAATTTCCCTTTTCTGGGCCATTTTCTTCGCTTGTGAAATAAAATAATAAAAAACGCCTAGCCATAAAGAGTGTGAGGATGTCGCACGACTGTACAGTGTTTCTGTGGGCCTAAGATCACTGTGGGTCAGAGCCCACTCGGCACTCACATGAAGAGTGTTACAAGGATTAAATGAGATGATGAGTGAAGGGCCCGATGTAACCCTTAACACGTAGTAAATTCTCACTGAATAACTGTCTGGTCATCCTCATCATTATTTTTATTGCAGTAAAATATTATTGCTGTGATGTCTTCTGACTAAAACACATCATTTAGAGCGGCGCAAAACAAAAATATTACCTCTGCGCTGTCAGCACCTTACCTCGCCAATGTCTTTAAAAAATGGTGTCGAATTTGAAAAAATCGTCTGAAATGTGCAGTGAAGAGAGACTTTTAAAGAAAAGTTTGAATTATCAAAGCATTTGGAGAAAGGCAAAGGTTTCAACTTAGATGTGAGAGAGAGAAAAGTCCATTTGATGAGTCTTCATAGACACTAGACTTCCCGACTACGGGAGAATATGGAATGCTGAAGGACTGCTGGGACTGTGGTTGTACTGAGTTAGCAGGATTTAATATTTAGCTGATAACTAAAGGAGGGCTAAGTGGTCCTTCATGCGCTTCTCCATGTGATGAAGCTTGAGGCCACTGCTGATTAGGAAGTGAGAGGTGGGTTGGTCTCCTTGGTACAGAGGGAGGTCTAGAACCCTGCCACGCAGATAGAAAGTGGAATTACAAAGGAATTGAAGTGTTGTCAGAAGATTTCACTTATTGTTTGTTTAATAGGATTCTATATTTTCATGAAGGGAGCTCTGGTGGCATAGTGAGGCTGTAATCCACAAGATTTTGAGACACACACACAAATAAATCTCTTCTTTTTCATTCTCTTCTTTCAAACAGCTGGGACCCAAGCTGGAGAAGAGATGCCTGTTGTTTCCAAAACCAGCATTAAGGAGTACAAAGATAGCTTTTCAAACGAGAAGTTTGATTTTCGCAACCACCCAAATATTACTTTCTTTGTTTATGTCAGTAATTTCACCTGGCCCATCAAAATTCAGGTAAGTGGTTTGGGGCCTCATACCTGCAAAAGTGGTGCAAGCTCTGTAGTGAAAAGGAAATTCTCTAATTTGAAATGTGTAGCAAGTGAGAGATGTACAGTGTAGTTTGTCTTGGTGGTCTCTGTGCAAGGGGACTCTGACTTAGCACACAAATAGCATGAAGAAGATTATTATGGGATTGACTTAAGCCTCTTAGAAGCACACTATAAACCCATTTAAAAGCAAGTAGCTGTAACAAAGGTAATTATTACAGGTGTTTTTGTTGCTTTGTCTGCCATTTAAAAATAAGTAGAACCACACAAAAGCATTTCAGTTCTGGAGTCAACAAGGTGGGTAGAAGTGAAGCAAGTTCACATGTAACCGGTGTAACCCTGAGTGTGGAAAGTGGGTTCCACGCAGTCACACGACACAGAATCAGCGCAGAAAACCCCACTGCTTTTCTGTGTCCAGCAACCCGTGCGCTGCAAAGACTTCGACACGAAAAGCGTAACTTTTATAATCTATCAAAAGAAAGTGAATCTTTAAATCTGGCAGAGCATAAACAAAGTAAATGTACACTGATGAAAGAAATCAAAGAAGACATAAATAAATAGCCCTACTGTGTTCGTTAATTAGGAGAATCAGCATAGCAAAATCTCCCCAAATTGATCTATAGATTTACTACAGTATCCTGTCTTTGCTAATCCATTGTTAGCTGACACTCCCTCAAACACATGCACTTTTATTTCCCCCCCCCTTTTTTTTTTTAAACCGAGAGCCCTTGTATCTTTTACATCTAGTTTTATTTCAGAGTCTCTGCCTAGACATCACTTGAATGTGGACTCACTGGGTGATAGGTTTTCTTTTTCTCTCCCCCAAGTTATGTGCCGTCATCCAATCACTGTTGGAGTAGATGAACCTTAGGCTTATCTGAAAGAGCTCCTGTCCTCTCTCTTGATTTTTGTCCTGGGTTTATTATTTTCATAGTAGATCAGGTATATTTTTTAAATGGTCAGCATATTTTATCTAGCATTCCAATTGTTTTCTTCAGTAAAGACTTAAGGGTTTTTATAGTTCTACTGCCCAAAACCTATCATACCTTGTCTGCATTTGGTCTCTTGATTTTCCATGTACTTTTTATCTGACTGTTTTCCTTACGTTGACCTCAATAATTTGTCACTAGGGACCTGTGTCAGCTAGTCATGGGTTTGAGAGTGAGCAGTAGAAACCTATAATAACATGGCTTTAATTATTTGCGAGGGTATTTCTCCCCCACAAGATTCTAAGCATTGGCAATCCCAGGCATGAATGGGTACTTTGTTTCCCCAAACCTTCAAAACCAGCTTCGTACTGCTTACTTCTTCACCACTCATAGGGTAGAAATTTCTCCCCCTGGTCTAGCTATCCTTTGCTTGAAAGATTCAATGAAGGGAACAGGGCAATGGGTCTGTCCTAGATACCCCAAAGATACTTCTGTTTGTTTATATTCTCTTGGTCAGAGCTTAGTCATACAGCTACATCTTGTGGCAAGGACAACCGGGAAATGTGGTCTTTATTTTGGGTTACCATCGATTTTTCTTTCCTTGGAAAAATCTTATAATAAGCACTTGAGGATGTCCATCCAGTAGGACCTGCCATGGTGTTCGCGTCTCTAGCAAGAATGGTCACATGAGGGTCTGTCCAGCTTTGTTGTGTACATGAGAATCTTGCTCCGGGCCACTTAAAAAGACCACACATTAGAATGGTAGGCATAGGTTTTGACCCATGGCCCCTTTTGTTCTTTGTCCAACTTTGTATGAGCATGTTAAGAAATATATTCTCCAGCGTTCTTGTCCTTTGGTCTGTTCAGTTACTGGTAAGGCTTATAAGCAATCTTGGTGGGGAGAATTCAAGCAAGCTTCTTAGACCTGTAATTTGCTTAATGTTAAAAAATATCACATTTAGGAGTCATAAACAAAAAATGCCTTATCATGCATGGTAGATTTTTAAGAAAATGCGGAAAGATTACTTAAGGAAGAAATAGTAATTAAACAAGCATGATTTCTTTCTCACACCCTTCTCCACTGTGCCTTGGCCCCAAACTGTCCCTGCCATATTTAATGCTTTTTCTTGCTGGTTCCTCCTAATACTGTAAACACTTGAAAAATTATATTGCCTGTTGTTAAGAATTGAATATTGTCCCACCCAAAATATGTGTTGTAAACCCTAACCTCTATGCAAGTGGTAATTGTCCCATTTGGAAATGCGTTGTCTTGAGATACAAAAGATTAAACAAGAATTGAGAGAAACAGAGATGAGGTAAGCTAGATGCCAAGGCACATAGAGATCTCCAAGGGCCCAGGAAGAAGCAGACACTGAAGAGACAAAGACCTTCCCAAGAACCTGTGCTCTGAATCCCAGCTTCTAGCCTCCTAAACTGTGAGAAAACCCATTTGTTTGTTCAAGCCTCCCACTTGTGGAACTTCTCAGCAGCACTGGAGAGCTAAGACATCTGTGTTCACCTCTTCAGAGTGTGCAGGCGCTTCACACGTGAATAAGTTTGTTAGATCCAGGACTCAGAACGCAGCCGCACAGGGTTCTTGCTTCAGAGTCACAGAGCTAGGCTCACAGACTGTGTTCGAGCCACCTGTGCCTTTGCCGCTGTGTTCATTGACTTCAACCTGGCCTAGCCCATCTGTCTTTCCTGGCACAACCAACGTACTGTACATACCAGTGTGCCATCAAAGAGGGTCTGAAGAGATAACTCATCCCATGCACTTAAGACATCCTTTAATTGTGTGTATTATGTGTTGTAAAGTGAGGCTCCTGACACTCATGCAGTGTGTTGCTTTTTTTCATATTTTTTGTGGGACTTACAATTCAGAGATAAGCGCCCCAGGTGACTCCCACAACTGTTCTCAAAATCCCTTTGGGGAAACAAGCTGTGTATTAGTTTTCTATTGCTGCATAAACAAATGACCAGAACTTAGCAGCTTAAAACAAACCCTCTGACTGCAACCAAGTCTGTAAGGCAGGAGTCTGGCCAGAGCTCAGCAAGAGCCCTCTGCTCAGGCTTCACCAAGCTGAAAGCAAGGTGTCAGCCAGGCTGTGATCTCATCTGGGGCCCGGGGTCCTCTTCCAAGAACACTGTTTGTTAGCAGAAGTCAGTGCCTTGCCATTGTAGTTCTGATATCTACGCTTGCATTTTTGGTTGGCATCGGTGCCATCTCAGCGCTACAGGCTGCCAGCTGGTCCCTGCCTATAGCTCCCACCACTGCAGTGTGGATGGCTCCTTCAAGGCCAGTTGGAAAACATCTGTTGCCACTTCAAGTCTCTCGGACATCTTCTGCTTCTGATCTCGAGGCCTGCCTCTGAAATGGCTCACTTGACTAGGCGAGACCCACCATACTCCTGGGGAGTGTGCGCCTGGGGTGGGAATTTGAAGTCCATCTTAGAACTCTGCCTGACTTGGCTACATTTGGGGTAGGATTTGTAGCCATTTTGGTTATTTTTTGAGTTCCAGAGAAGTCGCCTAATAGCCAAGTTATCGTTCATTTAAGCTTGTTGGATTCTTTTTCTGCAAAGTAATTCATTGGAGCTCTTGTAAATATAATTTATTAACTTGTTTATGTTGAGCGTGTTTTCATACTGATGTGGACTTCATTATTTTTGGAATCCAGTGGAACTTTAGGCTTTCTGCTTCTAGCGCAAAAATGATTGATACTTGTGAGAAGCTTCATGAAAATCTTGACTTGCGCTGCTGACGCTTTCCCAGTTGGAAAGAGGGCTGTGTGCACATAAACAGGCTTTTGTGCTGCAGATAGCCGGGCTGGTGCCAGTGCAGAGCGCTAGTTTTTCCCTCCCAGTGCCCTGTTGCTCCACCCTCTGAAAGTCACTGAAATGCTTGGAGAGCCTTTCCTTGCGAGGGATCTCTGCCCCCAAACTTTCTTTAGAAAAGTAGTTACCGTAAGTGCAGGAATCAAAGAGTGGTTGGTCTTCTACCTGGCTTCTTGGTGCACATTACCTGGGTTGGATCACTAACTTGATCACTTATGAAAGCTGCATTCAGGAGCACTTTGGAAAATAAACCATGGCGTGCTCACCGTTTAGTTTGCCAAGCTTTCCTTGAACAGGCGGGTAAGTGCTTTTGAAAATGTGCCTTTTTGCTGTATTCCCCAGCAGTGCGACAGGCCCTGCGGCACTGTGTGTGCCTGGGTCCTCACAGGACAGCCAGGTGACACTGGTTCTATGAGGGGATGGGCGCTGGGGGTGGGGGCAGGCTCGGGCAGAGGTGGGAGGGTCTCAACAAAGGGGGCTACACATTTCTTTATTGCTGCTTCCCCAGAGCTTAGCTTTTCTTGATGGAGGTTAGCTCATGTACACATACACACACATACAAATGGTACCAATTCCGGGCCAAACCATAGAGACTTTCTTAAAGGGGGAGAGTTGAAAAATACCTAAATGGTACAGTGTCGACCGTTCTGTTATATTTCGGTCAGCCTTTCAGTGCAGACAAAAGCCTTTTTGCCTTTGATTCTAAAGGAAAGTAACAGAGGAAACTGAAATCTGGACCTGGAAATTCATGTAAACATTTCTGCTTTAAACATTGGTAATGTTAAACTTTAGTTCCTTCCCTCTAAGTCCGTCCCAGAATTCTTTTCCATAATTAGGAACAGATCAAAACCTACAACTGCTGACCAAGGGAATTAGAGACTCACTATAAAAATCTTGGTAGATGCAGTTTTATAAAAAACAAACAAACCACCACTCAGACTGAAAAGGCCTGTGTGTAGGAGGGTGGTGGGTGTGTTGAGGACAGTTGTGCCTATTTTCTGGTCAATTGCTCTTGTGCTTGAGTCCTCCCGCCCTCAGCCTGCTCTTCTGTAAGCTGTGCTCCTCGTCGTCATCGCCCCCCCACCCCCTGTAAGCAGTGGCTCAGCAGGCTTCAGCCTAGCCCCTGCTTTGGGGGAGTTGGTATTCAAGATCGAAAATGGACAGGCAGGGGTTGTGTGTGAGGTGAGGAGGTGGGTGGTGGAGCT